GGGTCTGGGAGACAGATAGACGGACGGACGAACATACGGAGATACGGATGGACGGACGGACGGAGAATGGAAAAACGGACGGATGGATGGACTGAGAGACGGAAGAGCGGGACGGACGGACGGAGAGACGGACAAAGAGATGGACAGAACGGACGGTAGAGAGAGAGAGAGAGAGAGAGAGAGAGAGAGAGAGAGAGAGAGAGAGAGAGAGAGAGAGAGAGAGAGAGAGAGAGAGAGAGAGAGAGAGAGAGAGATAGAGAGAGAGAGAGAGAAGAGAGAGAGAGAGAGAGAGAGAGAGAAGAGAGACTGAGAGAGAAAGAGACTGAGAGAGAGAGATGAGAGAGAGAGAGAGAGAGAGAGAGAGAGAGAGAGAGAGAGAGAGAGAGAGAGAGAGAGAGAGAGAGAGAGAGAGAGAGAGAGAGAGAGAGAGAGAAGAGAAGAGAGACTGAGAGAGAAAGAGAGACTGAGAGAGAAAGAGAGACTGAGAGAGAAAGATAGACTGAGTGAGAAAGAGAGACTGAGAGAGAAAGAGAGAGAGAGAGAGAGAGAGAGAGAGAGAGAGAGAGAGAGAGAGAGAGAGAGAGAGAGGGGGGGTGGTGACTGGTGAGAGAAAGGAGGATAAGACTAATGAAGGAAAAGGAAAAGACTAACAGAGACTTCAGGGAGGACGGCAAGGAGACTGATACCTACAGAGAGGAACAGTAGCGGCGGAACACCTTCAATTAAGGGGGGGGGGGGGCACTGCCAACTTTTGGTCCCATTCTTTCCATGCAACGCCCATAGGGCTAATGTTAAAATGCCAAAATCAAAGGGGGGACGGTGCCCCGGTGCCCTCCCCGTTCCGCCGCCTATGGAGAGGAAAGATGAGTGAGCAAGGGATTTGAGAGATAGGTAAAGAGACAGGGGAGAAATGAGATTTTATTGCTCCGCTCCTAATAACACTTCCTAAAATAAAATATAATTGGCCGTAATTATCGAATAAGAATCGGAAATTGTCAATTGAACGTCTGATTCGCTTACATCAATCGACAATCCGCCCTATACCATGTTTGACATGTTTGCAGTTTGCACCAAAGCCAGCTTGCAGGCTATAGCCTATACATCGAGGCAGTGGTATATACTATACATCCCGGTGAATTCCTGCATATAGCCGAGACCTCCGGCGGTATCTTCCCACGATCAGCCGGATTTCAAAGTCGTGTATTTTTCGTCCATGGCAGGCGGCCGGCGCAATCTCGGGGAAAGAGGCGCTCCAGTAACAAAAGCACGAGCAGATCGCCCAAATGCCGGTGGCCGCGATAATTTCTCTAGTTTCTGAAGAATTTTCGGGACCCATGCTCTTTTCATACTGGATCGCGTGTGCCTTACAGAAACTGAAAAGTTCTTCCTATATCAAAATATAGAAAATAATCTTTTGTTATAAAAAGGTTTTATTTTCTTTGCTGATCATTTTGAACATAAAAAATCATAAATCCATTGCAAAAAAATAATTTCGTGAAAGTGAACTATTTCCTTTAAGGGAAAACATTAAGATAAGTTATTTTTAATGAAATCCACTCGCTCGCTGCGCTCGCTTGCCACATTCTCCTATCCGTTCGACCGTGATCGACCTAGAGCTTCGTCGAAAAAACGAGCGTTTTATCCGTAACGAGAGAAGGCAGATTATACCCTAGTTCAGGATTCAAGTCATAAGTTGACCTTCCAGGTCAGGTCAGTGAACAAAAAGTCAGAAAAATCGGGACCTGCTAGAACTTCTTGAAATGAGGCTTTTTCAGGGTCCTGATTTTCAAAATCGTAGTTGTTTTGTTTAAGAATAATGTATTTATGCATTTTAGAAAGGTGACTTCAAGTCAGGTCAGATCAATCATCAGGCGTTCCGACGGCTATCCATGGAAGGTAACCACTAATCAATTACCACCACTGACAGCTTTGCAACATGTTGCATGGGCACCAAAATTATTTCAAATGTTCAAACACATGCTAGAATTCGAAAGCAAAACTACCCTTAACGTTGTAAAAAAGATAGTTAAGTTCATCTAAGGTCATCAAAGCTTTATGGCTTCACCAAACCTTTCGATACCCATCATAACATCGTTTCACATATTGACACGTTTCTAATGACAAAAAGTCTGGAAATGCACGAATAATGTACTTACTCACGCTGACATATACGCCGGATCGCTATTCTCGCCTGGCCTGGTGTCGATTGATAGGTCACAGGTCAAAGGTAATTTGGATCATAGTTATTGAATTTTTATGGTACTCGTAAAATTGATCAAGTACCCACAGGGCACTGAAAGTTGCGTCGCGATGGCGATTCGCCGCGTGCGTCGGTCTTTACCTCATTCAATAGACTATATCTATATTTATAGATCATCATAGCCTTAATAAATGTTTTAAGACCAGTATCATAAAGGTCAATATAGTATGCATTGGATACCTAATTCGGTATATTTCGTCTACCCGTAAGCTTCATGTTTGTAGTTAGGGAAAGGATTGACTGGTGCACGTCAGTTACATATGTGAGCACATTAGTGAGATTGACTGAAATACACGCTCCGTGCTGCACAGCGTCCGCATGTTTGAGGGACAAGAAGGTACACACAAAGCGATATGGACTCAGGTTCAATTGACTAGCAAAATGTCGGCGCCGCGCCGCGGCCATGCTGATTACTGATAGGGGCCATTTCAGTAGGACACCTCAGCCCTATCGTGCTCCTATCAGCTCGATTCGCCTCAACGGGCTCGCACGGGCGCGGGTGGAGTCGGGGGTGGGACGGGGGTCGGGGGACGGTGGATCCCACGCCACCGTGGGTCCCTGATAGACAGCGCCGCCCCGCGGCTGAGACGGGAACTCACTACGGCCGGCCGTACTACGCTGCAGGGCTACGACGGACATCCGTCCAATGCGGCAGTGTAGGAGCTATGACTAAAATTCGAGGATTGACTGCACAAAGGAACGCACAACTAACCCAACTGACTTAGAAGATGATAATTCACTTTTTATATTTTCTCTATTTCTCGGCTCCAGGCCCGATAATGTATCCTGGTTCTCAAAATTTGCATCTCTCTTTTATTACCTCCAACTCATTTCCGTTTAACCCTCTCACCCCCACCAGCAGCTTGCACCTCCCCTTCCCGACCCCTCCGTGATCCGACCCGTGACCCGTGCTCGCCGCTGCCGCCACCGCCCCCTGGCTGCGGCTCGGCGGCGGCGGCGGCGGCGGCGGCGGCGGCGGCGGCGGCCGGGTTGGCTGCGGCGGCGGCGGTGCGGCGCCACCCGGCACACACACCCAATCAGTTGGGAAGGCGCCGCGTCCGCCGGTGGCCGCACACCAGCGCCGCCGCGCCGCTGCCGCCCAGCACGGCAACCGGCACGCCAGAGCACGGCACACGGCCTACGTCAGCTATGTGAGTACGCCCGATACTACATCCGCCGAGTGATGGTGGCCGTGCACGTTTGTGACATTTCGAGATTGAGAGAGTGGCACCAGTGCAAAACTGGATGAGTGATAGTGGGTTATGTGAGAGCGAATGGGGCTTGCAATGTGCAAGGAAGATTTATGTGCAGTGATGTGCCTACAAAGCTGCATGTGTGTCACGATCATGTGCTACTATAACCTTATCATGTATTATTCATTCTCAAATAACTCATCATTACCCCGAAAATTAAGCGAGCGATTGTAGCCTTCACCACATCCTGACATGTCACAAATGATTCTCTTAAGTGGGCGGTGTGCAGATGTCTCCTGTTTGTCAGAACATGGCCTGATTCTGATTCACCCTGTCACACTCAGAGTCATGCATGCCTTTGCCGTGATTCAGGACCAAGCAGATACTCACGGCCGCCCTTTGGACCCGGCGACTCGCGGCTAAATGGCACTACTCACTGCGCCGCATATGATTGTATTAGTTCATCAAGATTACTACAACATATGATTATGATTATGCATAGTTTATGATTATGCATAGTTGCACTTATTTGCAAACTGTGAAAGCGTTCTATGTAATTGCAATCAGCGGTGCTCCCATTATTGCAATGTTAAGGATATTATCTTCAGAATGGGTAACTGAAGATGAATGTGGAAATATTCACATAACTGGCCTATTTGGGGCCTTTCATGGTGCATGGTTCCATCTTGTTACACAAGCTGAATTGGGCTTAATAAAATAAAAGATTCTCACTCCTTAGATACACAAGGTTGATGGAAACCAAAACATATTCGAGCAATTTTTTTTCGTGACAGATCCCAGGTCATCTAAAACCTGAAAACTCTTAAAATGGTATCAGTTATAAGGCTAACACCACTTAATTCCGCATAAATTTTATTATTTTGTTTGTTTATTTTATGCATCTGTGCAGAATGTATGAAGTTGCGTACATGTAAGACTGCAATGCCACCTACGATGATGTATGGCGCCTTCTGTTTTCGTATTTTCAATTATTGTAATGGGGACGAATCCTTGATTTTCTGTACCTATCCAAAAACTAGCAATGCTTTAAAGTCGGAGTCGTGCGACTGATTTAAATTAGAGATACTGGCACGCTTTTATGGGTTGTTGGAGATCTGGTTGGAGATGACATAATTTTAGCGCTAAGTTCCGTTTGGTGTTTTGTGTGATCATGCAAAACGTTGCAGCATACTTTGAAGTTTGAACACCACCGATGCCCCAGCCAGAGTATGTCATGATTTCTCCTGAAATTGAACTCACTGTTTTAGCTCTAAAGACGAAAAACTGTTGCAGGCTTGTAATTCTTGTTTTCGCACGAGCAAGCTGTGGCTTGTGCCAAAATATTTTACCGCATGCCGCTGTGGCGTGACTGAAGGAACTGCTATCATTTCTTTTTCTTTTTGCAAGGCTTGTCGTCTTTACAATGTAAATTGTAAGGAGACAGAAGTGCAATCAATCAAATGGTTAAGCGGAAATATTCGTGATTAATTGATATAAGTAAACATAAATTGTTAAGACTTTAAGATATAGGTACTTAATTAAACTTTTTTTTTTTGCTTAATTGTCAAGCATACACCTTGTGTAAACATGTTTTATGTTTCATGTAGCTGAGTATTTTCATGATGATCTAACAATGTCTTAGCTGCTCAATGCTCATGGTTTCGCTGATGCATTTTACAAGTCAGGATCAAACAAACTAAAGTAAACAACCAAATTAAAAAAAACTGATATCTCTTTATTTTTAGGAGGATTTCAAGTAGGTAGTGACAGTGACGTATATTACTTATAAACCGTATTCTGCAATCTATATACACTAATTTTATATCAATCAATTGTTTGCATATACACGTAATTTGTAAGTAAGTAACTTTGTAGTTACTTTGGGTGTCAATTACCATTTTAATGTAGGCCAAGTAACTAAGGCCTACATTAAAACATGAGTTACATGCGTTATATTGCATCGTAGAAGCTGAGTGTTGTAAAAACGTATTCAATCATGCGTATCATGGCATACTCTTGGGCTCTTTTTTATGTCAACTAATTTTCTATATAAAGTGACATACACTTCTCACGCTCACTCTGGTCAAACTTCATCGTGAATCATTATTATATAATGCATCGAAAGACTCAAAGTTCGCATCCATTTGTACTGATTTTGCTCGAATTGCCAGGGGTAACGACATTACATTCGTCCGTCAAAAATAGTATCTTCACTTCCATGCTTTAATGAAATTTCCGTGATCTTAAATTACACAAAGCTTCTGTTTTTCGAATCCCTTTCCTTTATCAGGCGTGCTTGCTCCCCCGCTGCTTCTCTCGTCCTCCTTCCCCACCCCGTTCGTCGGACCTCGCCGTTCACTCTCTCTCGGTGCTGTTTGCACTCTCTGTCGGGTTTCTCTGTGTACGCCGTCCACTTCCCCTTTCATTGCGGCGGTGTGGCGCGGCGGACGACCTCGCTGGGACGCCGGCGGGCCCGGCGGCCGGGCCATGGGCCACATGGGAGACACCAGGCCGGCGCAGCGCACAGAGACGGGGCGAAAGTCCTCGCCACGCAGCGAGTTAATGGACGGAATTTGGGTCACGCCGAGAGGCGGGCTGTGCGTGTGCGTGAACTGGGCGCCGCTCCGGCGCTCTGCCGGCCGCTCCGCTGCTCTGCCCGCCGGCGGGGCCAGCTGTCGGCCGGCCGCGGGCGCGCGGTGCCGCCGGCTGCAGCCAGGGCCGCCGCCGCCGCTGCCGCCGCTCCCGTCTCTGACGGCCGGGACTGACAGTGACCGGACGCTCCGCCACACCACTCCGGTCACCGGGAGAGAATTCGGAGCCAGGGCCGGCCGGAAGTAGCCAGCCGGATGGGAACAGGAGCGATGCAATGGGTGCAGAGCACCACGGGCACCGCGCTACCCCTGTCACCGCCGCTGCCACCGCGGCTGCGGCTGCACCGCCTGAACCCCACGGCTGCAGCTGCATGACTGCATAACTGTCACAGCTGCATTCGTTGGAACTCCGAGTCACATTGCCTCAGCTGCAGCTTCCATGATTAATCAAACCACCTAACCAGCTCGGTCGCCTCAGACTGCCTCGCACGTTTTGTAACCTAACCACGTTTATCCCGCTACTTTTAACAATATGCGCTGTTCTGCGGCCGGCCGGCGTTGCCGAACGAGCGCACAGATAGCCAGCCATGAATTTGGGACAACCGGTGTAGGACGCACAGAACAGCAGTTCGGTGGGTCCACCGCAGCGGCCGGCCAGAAGTGCGCAAGGTAAACAAGGGCGACACTATCGGCGCACCAGTGCGCCACTCCTCGCCACGCTGCGCCGGTTTCGCCGCGCTGTCAGAGACGAATCCGGCCAGGGACCGGATGACATGGGTCGGGGAGGGGACAGGGGGCAGAGGGGTGCAGTGGGAGGCGGTAAATTCGGCGGACCGGAACCGCCGCAGCCGGCGCTGGCTCACGGCTCGTGGCTCGTCTGTGACGACGGCTGCCGATAGCGGGTTGAGGGCGGACACCGCGTCACATCTTCCCGGAACACTCTGCGAACCGAGACTCGGATCGGCGCGGCCCCCGATAACGGCGCTGCGTGTGCGAACTCGGCGCGGTATCGCGCCATGGCTGCCGGCTGCTACACTGTGTACCTGACGGCAGCGTATGTGACGCGGGCGGCGTCTTGCAGGAAATCAGAGACCCCAGGGAGGACAGGTTTCATTAGCCAACCGTCTGTTCGTCAGCCTGGGGTAATTCGTTTAGTTTACCACGGAAATGTTAAAGCCCTTTTTCATTCCATTAAAATTCAAAACCGTTCATGCATTATAGGCATTTGACTGTTTCTAAGCAGGGTTTTGAGTGGTGCATCGAATGGGTGTGTCGGAAGGTCTTCTAATGCCCTTGTATCTCAGGCCCTGGCATTGGGGTTGAAGGATAGGGTCAGCTACCCTCGCGTCTTCGGGGTTTTACGATCCAACCAATGCCAAAGTTATATGGTGTCTGTTACATCGGACCCAGCACAGAATCTAACACTCCTGAGTGGGAAGTGATGCCAGAGCCTTCGTCAGCTATTTCACAACATCAGATCAGTAGCTCATAGTAATCCTCAGTGTTCCCCCGCGCAGTCGGAAAAGTGGACAATTCACCATCACGAGCTGGACAAACCGGGAAAAATCTTCGGCGCCCTCGTGTGGGATTTCTTATCCCGCCGACTGACATCCGTTCAGGTCACCTCTTCCTCCGCAGTGTTTCCTCTTCCTCAACCGCAAGTCGGTTTTTGAAATTCGATCTGTGGCTGCGCGTAAGAAACGCACTTCCGCTCCGGTTTCCTGGCGGTCGTCTGTGGTGGCGTCCGGTGCCGGCGCGGGACCCGGACGATTGTGTCACACCACAGTTCGCAGATGGCGACGGGGTCACGGGCTTTCCGATCACTGGATCCTGATTCACAGGGGGCTATCAGCCAGTCCTTTGACGCTCGTCAGTGGGTTGAAAGGCCGTGATAGCAAGGCGGAGTGGTTGTTGCAGTCCGAGGGTTGTCCTGAGAGGATCTCTGCGCTGCGAAGACCCATCGTTGTTCAGTGGCGACTACCGGGTCAAGGAATTCTCGAGGAGTATCAAGGAGTATACGAGTAAGCTGGTGAGTACAGGCCAAACGTGTTGGGTCCGTCGACACGGTTATTCTTCTAGCATACTCCTCATATGTAACTAGCCGGACGAGTCTCGTCAGGCCTGAGTTCTCACGCCGCCCTAAGATATTGTTATCACAGAATCGTGATCCTTGGATCATTTCGAGGTCCCTCGTCACTCGTCAGAGACAGACAGGCGCTACTTTGATCTCTTCCAGACATTTCCAAACCCCTTCCGTCTCATCAGTCATTTCGGCGCCGAGGTGTCTGACTCTCGTCCTCTGTCGATTTTTCACCGGGGTACTGACCATCTGCCGCTCGGACGATCCTCAAACTCTTTGTGCTGGCC